ATGAGGACAGCAGGACATGTATGAGGACAGCAGGACATGAATGAGGACAGCAGGACATGTATGAGGACAGCAGGACAGTGGTGAGATGTGCTTTAGGAGTGACCGATATCTTCAAGGTGGAGGTGGGAGTGCATCAAGGATCAGCTCTGAGCCCCTTCTTGTTTGCTCTGGTGATGGACCGACTAACAGATGAGGTCAGGCAGGAATCTCCGTGGATGATGATGTTTGCAGATGACGTGATCTGTGGTGAAAACAGGGAACAGGTGGAAGAGAACTTGGAGAGGTGGAGGTATGCACTTGAAAGAAGAGGAATGAAAGTCAGCCGTAGTGACAGAGTCCATGTGTGTGAATGAGAGGGAGGAGGCGGAACAGTGAGGCTACAAGGAGCAGAGGTCACAAAGGTGCAGGACTTCAAGGACTTGGGGTCCACTGTCCCCCAACATCAGGCAGGCCACCTCCCTTCCTCACTTCAAATCCCTGCTGAAAACACATCTGTTCTCTCAGGCATTTCACACAGTGTGAGTTGATTTAGTGTTTTTTTTAATCTGTGACCCTATGTTTTAAATGCTTTTTATTAATTCTTCAGTTATTATCATTAGCGTATTGTATTTATATATATTTTTTCTCTGTCTTTAATTTTACTCATTGTTTGTTGTAGTAGTAGCAGTTGTTGTTGTTGTTGTTGTTAAGCACTTTGATAACAGGTTCTGTTTTAAATGTGCTCTATAAATTAAGTTGTCTTGACTTGACACTGTCCAGGAACATGGGGAGTGTGGTAAAGAGGTGAAGAAGAGAGTCCAGGCAGGATGGAGTGATGGAGAAACGTTTCAGGAGTGATTTGTGACAAAAGGGTGTCAGCAAAGGTCAAAGGTGAGACCAGCTATGTTTTATGGTCTGGAGACAGAGACATGGACAAAAAGACAGGAGACAGAACTGGAAGTGTCAGAAATGAAGATGTTGAGGTTCTTCTTAGGAGAGACAAGGATGGAGAAGATCAGGAATGAGATCATCAGAGGTACAGCACAGGTTGAACAACTGGGAGATAAAGTTAGAGAGGACACACTGAGATGGTTTGGACATGTCCAG